TACATACGATACATACATACGATACATACAGTACAGTACATACATACATACAGTACATACATACATACATACATACATACGATACAGTACATACGATACATACATACATACATACATACATACATACATACATACATACATACATACATACATACATACATACATACATACATACATACATACATACATACATACATACATACATACATACATACATACATACATACATACATACATACATACATACATACATACATACATACATACATACATACATACATACATACCCGAATTCTTGAACATACCGGATGCCAGAAAGGGAAATCGTATTAATCACGCATCAGTTAGAAACCAACTTAGCGAAGAGGGGAAAATCGAGCCATCGTGGGGTGAGTAGGAACGTGACGATCCCTATTTCTTAGCTGCTGTGGAATTCGTACAATGATGGATCGCCGGGACGCATGGAGAGGCTCGGCTACATAAGTCTCCTGAAAAATTGAACGACGGATTTTTCGCCATATAAAACGTTCAGGAGCCTGGGACGTCCCCGTGATTGCTCTTCGGAAAGACTAGACTGGAAAGTCCTATTGCTTGAGTCTCCGAAGCGATGACTCGCCTCTTTTCTCCGATCTGACGAGACGAGAGAGAGCTAAGGGGATGAAAATCTGCGACGAGAATATTCTTGATCACCCGCGTTCGAGAGAATCCCATCCCCGAAGTGAGGAAGCAGTGTCGACGAAGCGAGGCATGCCAACGACGGAGCGCAAGAGCACAATGCCGCCGAAGAAGCATCGCAACGCGGTGGCATCGGTATAAGAAACTATGGCCGGACGAGGGAATGACGACGCTTAGATAGCTTTTCTCGATATCCTCTCGGCGGGTCTGTCATCTCGGAAACTTCTGAAAGCCGCCTTAAAATCTGGCGCTCGTCATTGGTCCCACGCCGCTTCCTGAGTCCTGGAAAAAGGCCCAAGTTCGGGGATCACCACAATCTTCATCATATGGAGTGACGATGCTGAAAGGGCTGTGAGCATCTTTTTCAGATCTTCTTATCCGATGGAGCTCACTCCAATAGAGCCAGCAATACGTAGAATTCAGTAGTTGGGGTTCGGCTACGAGAGAAGGCGCGTCGAGCAATCAGAGTCATCAGGGAACAGTACAGACTCATCGCAAGATAGGGGAACGCCCATTTGTCCCTCGAGGACGCTCGAGCTTGCGAAGGGGGATCACCATCTCTTCGATCTACAGCGCAATTCCGCAGAGCGTATCGCGAAATACCAGGATCTGCGACCGGAGCACCGAGCCGCGGAGCGAGAAGCCACCGATGCCTCAGTCCATCCGAACCATCGACGTTAGGCTTTTGCCTTCGCGATAAGTGTAGCTGATGATGAATCCGACCTAATAAATATATGCAGCAGTCAGAGCTGACATCCTCACGAGCGATTCCCGTACGTCGGCGTGGGTTCTCGCTGAATCAATTACACGCATATGTATGTTCAGCACAAGCGGCTGTCTCAGAGCGCCGAGGACCGGTGTCTAAAGGCCTGCTTGCCCACCTTGTGAGCTCATTCGTTTTTTCCCGAATCGGGCTCCCTGCTTCGAAACGAACCGCAATCGCCTCCACTTTTCTTGAGCTCGTCCGTCCAAGGATCGATCGACAGATGAGCTCAGCGCAAGGAATATGTTTCCGCTGTGATTCGTGAAAGCGGGTCGACCACGATATC